TTTCATTTAGGTCATTTTTTGTCACAGTGTCTTGGCTTTCCATGCCTGAAATACTCTTACGGGCTTTTTAGCCAGATCCAAATGCCTTAAGATCTGATTCTGAGTTAGGGAATATTAGGGCCATTTTAAATGTTGACTACTGTAAGTACTACTTGTGTTTATCTCCCCAAACTTATATAATTTTATGTTAACCTTGAAGATGAGAATCACAGTGTGGAAACTGGGCATAGTTTATCACAGATGCCAATTATAATTCCTTCAGCTCAGCACTTGTGGTCAATATTGCAGATCATATTCAAACCAAACATTGATTTTGTCTCATGCACACTTTATTTTGAAGACTATAGAGAAGTGTATGGAGAACATGGTGGCACATGGATCTGCAAAATTGGTATCCTGATATTTACCATGTGCAGCATTAAAGCCTTGCATGCAGTAATGCTACAATTTAATAAGGACTTAGCTGTATATTTGTATAAAACATAGAATCTAGTACATGCGATTTCAGAGTTTCTGATTTCATCCTATGCTTCATTTTTAAAGAATAGCAGTATATAGAATGAACCTTGCTGAGAAACACCCAGTGTGAAAATTGTGACCTGCCAGATGTCGCCTAGTGTTGTTGTGGGCTTGGAAGGGCCTACAACTCTTTTCCAGACTCTTGCCTTTTACTTAGAGAAGAATTGAAAGTACAGGCACAAACACAACATGCAGTGTGATAAGGATTATTTACAGAGTGAGAAGACTAGAGATGCAAAGACCAAATATATATCTCGTAATGTCACAGAACTCAATTTCTTTTGTTACTGAATTGTGGAAGTCTCAGAACCTTGGCGTAATATGGAAGGATAGCACACAAAGGTATAAATCCTTGGACTTAGTTAATATTAGGGCCATTTTAGATGTTGATTACTGCAGGTACTAATTGTGTTTATCTCCCCATGCTTATTTAATTTTATGTTGACCTTGAAGTTGAGCATCACAGTGTTGTGGGCGTGGCAGGGCCTAAATCTCTATTAAAGACTCTTGCCTTTACTTAGAGAGGAATTGTAAGTACAGGCACAAACACAACATGCAGTGTGGTAAGGAATATTTACAGAGTAAGAAGAATACACAGGCACATGAGGACTTATTTAGGGAGAGTGTGCCAGGAAAAGTAAAGAGGGCTTTCCACACCCTGAATTTCCTAGGTCCATGAGGGCAGAGAGAGAGCTGGAGTGTGAGAATGATCCCCTCCCTTTTACCAGGCTTCCTATGAGCTTAGAGAAGGGGAGTGGTTACATAGTACTGCCCCCAGGTCCCAGGTAAGGGGAGGTACATCCAGAGGAGGGGTCATCTGATTGACAGGTGTGTTGATATGGTAGCACAGAGCAGGAAAGGAATGGCAAGCAGCTCATGAACTTAAACTATCTATTTGCCTGACTCGTCTTACTGCAAAAGAGCAAGACAGTGAAAATATTCAAGACTGAACAGTGCTGTGTGTAATCTAGGGTTACATTTGTCTCCATTAAAAAATCGAGATAACATTTTAAGATTACATTATGGTCAAACTTTTAATAAGTGACCATTTCCCTGATGATTACTGATGTTGAGCATTTTTATATATCTGTTGGTCTCCTTTATGTCTTCCTCTGATAAATGTGTTTAAATCTGTTGTATATTTCTAATTGAATTATACGCTTTCCTTAGGCAACTAGAGACAGTTTGACTTCCTCCTTTCCAGTTGGATGAGTTTGTTTTTTTCCCCTCTTGCCCTATGGTTTATCTGGGCCACCTGTGCCATGTTGAATAAAAGTGGTGAAGGTGGACACCCCCTATTGTGCAAAATCTTAGACAGAAAACTCAACTTTTCCCTATGCAATATGATGTTATTTATTGTCATGTTACATATGGGTTTTATTATCATGACATATGTCTCCTGTATAGTAAATGTGGTGAGAGTTTTATCATTAAGGATGTGGCATTTTATTTAATGCCTTTTCTTCATTTCTTAAGATGATCATCTTGGTTTTGTCCTTCATTCTTTTGATGGTGTATCACATCTGTTGATTTACATATTTTGAACTATGCTTGCATCTCTGATATGAACCCTACTTGATTATGTTGAATGATATTTTAGTGGGCTGTTCAATTTGATTTGCTAGTATTTTGCTGAGGACTTTTGTACTCATATTCATTAAGGATATTGGCCCCAAATGTTCTTTTTTTGTTGTGTCCTTGTCTGGTTTTCATATGAGTGTAATGTTGAATGAATATAAATCTGGAAGAATTCCCTCCTCTTCTATGTTTTTAAATTGATTAAGAAGATTTTTGTTGATTCTTGTTAAAATGTTTGGTATAATTCAGCGGTGATCCATTTGGTCTTGGGCTTTACTTTGATGGGAGACTTCAATATTAACTGGATATTTCTACTATTTATTGATCTGCTAGACATCCTGATCATGATTCCACATTGATAAATTATACATATTTAAGAATTTGGCATTTTTTAGGTAATCAAATTTGTTGTCATACAATTGTTAATGGTAAACTTATACAATTTTATATTTTTGTGATGTCAATCATATTGTCTCCATTTTCATTTCTGATTGTATGTGTCTGAGTCCATTGATTGTTCAGGAGTAAGCTGTTTAATGTCTATGTATTTGTATGATTCCCAATACTTATCTAGTTATTTTTTTCTGGCTTTGTTGCAGTGTGGTCAGAAAAGATACTGATCTGATTTCTGCTATTTTAAATTTGTCTAGACTTGTTTTGTGAACTCTGGAAGATGGGGGCTGTGCAATTATTAGCCTTGCTTCCTAGAAAGTACAAACTGGTGCAGATGTATAAGCATGAAATTAGGCCCTTACCTCATACAAAATTCAATTAAAAAGTGTTAAAAAGATGAATGTGAAGCTGAAAAGCTACCAGAAAAAAAAACAATAGGGGAAAATCTCTTTGACATTCATGTAGATGTTATTCTTTTGGATTCTCCCTATGTGCTGGAGAGTTGTACCGATTTCATCTTTTCATAAGGATACCAGTCATATTGTATTAAAGACACATCCTCATTCAGTGTAATGTCATCTTACATAATTGCATCTGCAGTAATCCTATAGCCAAATAAAGTCACATTATGAGATACTAGAGGTTAGAAATTCAACATGTGAGACTGAGGGTAGGACACAATTCAATCATTATAACAGAGTACATTTAAGAGAAATATGAATAATTGAAAACATATTATGTAGATAGATAATTATTTTGATAATTTTGATTATATAAGGAAAAAGATGAGTTTATAGGAAGATATAGAGTTCATGGAAAAATTTACTCTTGCAGTTTCAATTGGGCAGAATTTGAATTTTTTTAAGATTCATGAGAAGGAGTAAGTAGAAAAGGTAAGAGAAATAACTGATTGTTCCCCAAACCAGGTAGGTCAGTATAGGCTTGAAAGAGAGAATAGACGTTGTTCCCCACATAGGAAGAGGTTGTTTATATTAATGTAACTGAGAAGGAGGAATAATAGAGATTCCCAGATAGATAGAACAGTTTTATTTGTTGTTACAAAGATCAGACAGGAACCAATGGAAGGAAGACCTGTATCTCTGTCTCTCTCACTAACTCTGCCTGTCAAAAAAAATAAAATAAATATGAGCCAGTTCCCTCCTGATGGATTCTAATTATTATTACTTTGATTTTCTAAGTGGGAACACAGTACTTTGCTGAGGACAAGGGAGGGTAGAATAGAAAGTTTAAATAAGTGAGTCTGATTGGAGATCCTCTGTCGGAGAACTCAAGGGGCTTCCATCGCCTTGGAAACTCATGACTGGAGCATAGGGAGATTACTGATGCCATAGACAGGAGTGTCAATTGGTAAAGTCAACAACAGGAGTCACTGTGCACTTACTCCTCATGTAGGATCTCTGTCCTTAATGTGCTGTGCATTGAGATTTAATGCTATAATGAGTACTCAAACAATATATTTCACTTTGTGTTTCTATGGGGGTGCAAACTGTTGAAATCTTTACTTAATGCATACTAAACTGATCCTCTGTAAAAGAAAAAAAAAAAGAAAAGAAAGAAAGAACTATCACTCCCAACTTGACTCTCACTGGGATTAAACATGACAATAGGTCGATCTGATTTCATCATCATTAAAAAAAATCATCTATTATTTTTCACTTTATGTTTCTGTGTGGGAGCAAACTGTTGAAAGCCTTACTTAATGTATACTAAGCTGATCTTCTGTATATTAAGATAATCGAAAATGAATCTTGATGTGAATGGAAGGGGAGAGGGAGTGGGAAAGGGGAGGGTTGTGGGTGGGAGGGACGGTATGGGGGGGAAGCCATAGTAATCCATTATTCGTACTTTGGAAACGTATATTCATTAAATAAAAGTTAAAAAATAAATAAATAAATAAATAAATCCTTAAAAAAAAAAATAAAAATAAAAAAAGATGAATAAAAAAAAAAAAAAAAAAAAGTTTAAATAAGTGGACTATTGAAAGTTGATTGGACAAATCTAAGGAAATGTAGATGACTAGAAAAGCATGAGGGATAGTGTTATCATCTTCATTGTGAAAGGTACAACAAACATACAAGGTACCAGTCTGCTCAGACCTATGAAGTTTTATAGCCTGTTAGGCTGCCAGTGTGAACAAAGGATAGAAACATCCATATCTGGGGCTTTGCTAAGAAGATGTCACAGAAGAACAAATAGGGCAAGGTTTTCATTTACTAGTAAGAGAATGTTTGAAGTTATTAGCCATTCCAATTTAAGTAGAAAAGGGTGGGAATTGAAGTCACGAAAGACTGACTGACCAGAAAAAAATGAGAGTCTGATGGGGCTGAAGCAGTGGATGAGTACAAAAGATAAGTGTGCAGTTCATGATGTTAAACCTCATGTTTCAAATGTGGATGTCTGCTGCCATCCTGAACAGCAGTGCACATCAGTTAGAATTAGATCTCATAATAAGACACACGAAAATACAATAATGGCTTAAAGATGTAAAGTTTATTTTCCGAAGAAAAAAAGTCTTGTATTAAGCAAGAATATTTACAATAAGTTGTCAAAAATTAATAATCAAAATGTCTGTTATCCATCTCTTATTTCCTGCTCAAAAATATGCTTCAAGTAATTATGCATCATTTCGTATAAGCCAGCAGAAAAAGTGAACCACAAAGGAAGACATACAATTTCCCTTTAAAGGAAAATATCAGAAGTCAGAATACACAATTCAGCATACATTATACTGGCCAACGTCTAGTCACATGCAGCAAAGGAGGCTAGGAAATCTAATATTAAACTAGACTATCATTGGTCAGGAAGTCTATTACTGAGGATGAGAAAAATTAGTGGTAAGGAACAATCAGAAATCTGTGTCCCACTCCCCAGCTTCATTTTGACAATGAACCAATCAAGATAAAGAAAAAAATGCAATTTCTCAATAGTTAGCTGGAATGGCAATCAACATTGGGGCTCAAAGTCATTTTTTGTGAAATGGGGTGCACTTCTGAATTACAACATCACTATGCTCTCCTTCAGTGGACAATGGTCAAGGTGCCTGAGTCAGACTTACAAAGCCCGAAAAGAGGTCTTAAGGCACCTTGGAATACATTTTGGGTAAAGGTGTAAATATGGGATCCATCTGTCATGTTATAGAATGACACTTCTCTATCTTCATAATTTAGGAATAACCCCACCCTTCGGGGGTGCTGTCTCAGAGTAAGATGAGTTTCTGGGGAAGTAAGAGCCCAGAAATCCCCCTCATAAAGCCTGATGGCCCAGAAACCATTTTGTGGTGACATTGTTACTATCCCCTTCCTTGTAACATTGTCCCTACAGATTCCTAGATCACAGGAAACTGTGTCCCCAATATCTACTTCCCAGTAATATCTCCCCGAGGTGATACTCAGTTGACCCAGCACACAGGGAAGGGAATCAAATCTCTGTGGGCAGTCAGGGAGATCTTGCTTCTCTTCTTGCCAGGTTACACGTCTCTGTTCAGACAGGAAGAGCGCAGGATGTGCAGTTTCTGCATCCAGGGTCACGTTTACTGCAAAGACAAGAGAACCATCAGTATCTTTTTTTTTTTTTTTTTGACAGGCAGAGGGACAGTGAGAGAAACAGACAGAAAGGTCTTCCTTTTCTGTTGGTTCACTCCCCAATGGCCACTGCAGTGGAGCCCTGAGGTCGGTGCACCACGCCAATCCGAAGCCAGGAGCCAGGTGCTTCTCCTGGTCTCCCATGCGGGTGCAGGGCCCAAGGACCTGGGCCATCATCCACTGCACTCCCGGGCCACAGCAGAAAGCTGGACTGGAAGAGAAGCAACCAGGACAGAATCTGGCGCCCGACCAGGACTAGAACCCGGGGTGTCAGTGCCTCAGGCAGAGGATTAGCCTATTGAGCTGTGGCGCCATCTGAGGACCATTATTATCTAACTCAGGAAAATCTCAATATTCCTGAGCCAGAGAAACTGTATTCTGTGAGAGCTTTTCTGGCCCTAGGTGAATTCTGCTAACTTCTGCCCGGCTTTGAGTGAACCTATGCACAAAGAACATGGTCCCCTCTACAACATCATAGACTCACCAGCCAGGAACTCTTCTTTCCTCCAATCTGCAAGAAATATATCAACATGAGAAGCCACCATATGAGAAAGAAAGCTACCTGACCATTTAGAGTATGAATTCCCCAGGTTTAGTTTAAAATAATAGCAACTAAAGAAAATTCTCTTACATATGCTTGCCCTTCATTTTATAGCTTGCTAAATTATATCTAACTGGAAGGCTTGACCCATGCCAATGCTTTCCTCATTTAAAAAATTCTACAAGATAACATTATTTTATATATTTAGATGTTGGAGAGGAAATAGGATTTATGGTGACTTTGCCTCAACAAGTTATTTTGCTTTGTTTCTTTAAATTTTAGTACATAGTTACCATTCTACCTGCCCTCAAAATATAAGATGATACACAGATTTACAAAGATTAAAATGTAATGTTTCAACCCCATATGTGTTGAAATTTTAAGTTTATTTGAACAATAAAGTGATTGAGAGTTGAGGAGAGAAACAGGAGAACGAGAGCTCTTTCATCTACTGCAATGAGTAAGAACGGGCTAGCCTAAAGCCAGGAGCCCAGAACTCCATCCAAGTCTCCCTGCGGTAGTAGAGAACCAAGTAGTTGGGCCATCATCTGCTCCCTTCCCAGGTGCATTGGCAGGAACCTGGATTGGAAGCAGAGGAACTTGAACTCATCAGCACTCCAGTTAAGTTTAGCTTTAGCTTAACTTTGGTGTCAAAATACTCATCCCAGTGTGTTAAAATTATGTAGTATTATGTCATATTTATGAGAGATATGCTTTGGATTTCTTTTCCTTCATGATGTTTTGTACGTTGAAGATATTCATGTATAATATCTTCAGTAATAGGTTATTAATAGAAACCGTGGCACTTACCAGCATATAATGCTGCTTTCCTCCAGTCTGAAAGAGAAGAAAATAGGAAATCCCTTTTTTTCCTTCTGTGTCTTTTTCTCATTGTACTTCTCATATCATCCTGCGTTTTTCTCACACTTCCTTCTCTACATTCTCTGTGCTTTCTTTTTCTCACCTCTATCCTTGTATTTCAGATTTCAAAGACATGATGATGAAAATGATCAAGTGGAGGAAATTCAGAAAAATTAAAGCAATAAAAGGTGGGAGCAAGAAATAAAGGAAATCAGAAAGAGGAAAGGGTGTAAAAAGGGCGTGAAGAATGCAGAATCACAATGATTTTATGGCTTTTGGATATATACCCAGTACTGTGATTGCTGGATCATATGGCTGTTCCTAAGCAATGCTCTCACACTCTATACCTGCTTGTAACATCTCTGGCATGTTGTCAGAGATTAATAATTCAGAACTTCTTCATATGCTTGAACCTGCAAAGTCTCTCTGTGGTAAAGTTGATGAAGCTCTAGCTGTACTAGAAATTGAAATTGAAATTGAAATTCTTCTTTGCCACATAGACATTTTTGTTGCATTGTTATTTCCTAACCAATTACTATAAAGGTTAAGATAGGTGTTGAATCCAAAAGAGACAGAAAAATGGAATTTTTTGCCAGAGAATGATTACTCACTGAACTTGAACTGAGCCTACTTCTATCCGAAGGAAGCAATGATTACATACATCCTAAAATTGTTATTGGACTCAGATATGGACTGAACACATTGAAGATATAGGAAAGGAGGTTTCCTAGAGATAATAATTACTTACCTAACATATATTGAGCCTTCCTCCTACCTGAGAGAAAAATATACAAAATATACCTTCATGAGATAGGTTTTGTTAATGTCATAAAGAATACACAATTCAAACCATATATCTGTCAGTGTACATGTGTACAATATTGAGCAGATAATGTTCATTTCATTAGCAGTAAAAGAAAACTCTAAAGTACATTCTAACTGAAAACTTCACTCCAATTGGAAAATAACTATATGAGGTGTAAATAGTTAAATACAAAGTGCTTCAGAAATCTTGTATGAAAAGAATTAAAAGTTAAGTTTTATTTTGGTACAAAAATGTTGACATTTATATCTAGTTTTTTCATAATTTACATTTTCCACAAACTTTTTGAAGACTCCTTTTAATGCTTATAATTTGGCACTAAAATGTGTAGAAATATCTTAGAACAAGGTCTTAGATTTTAAAAATATATTTCCAATGGAATTTACCTAACAGTGCATCCTAAAGTCATGAACGGAGAAAAATTCATAGATCAAAATTAATAGACCAAAAAAAGAAAGAGCAGTAGTAGCTATGGTCGCATAGAGAAGATTGTAAGATCATGGGAAAATAGTTAATACCTAGGATTATTTAAAAATACAATTGAGTAATACAAATTAACAAGTCTCCAGACTATATTTGATATTAATATATACTAACTGTATAAAGGCCAATAAAAGGAGAAACTTATATCTTCCAGGAATTTGGAGTCTGATAGCCACAGTTAATAATTAAGATACCATCATGTGAAAAATAATGAGCACTCTTCTACAGAAGATGTGTTGTGGAACACAATTAAAGGAAGTTTTCATTTAGTGGAAAAAACTGTATTCCTCTATTCATCTCATAATCTTATATTGAAGATACAACAATTACCTGTAAGAGAGAAGAAGTCAAATAACATATAGTACAGAGAGGAAAAGGGATAAAGAGAAGGGGAGGGAGAGGATAAGAAGGAAACTTAATAAGATACAAGTTCATGGAGAGAAATAGAAGATAAATAGTTTAATTTGAACTCCACAAGAAAGAAAAGCAAAGAGTAGAGATGTCGTAAATGATCAAAAGACAGCAAAAACAAACAAAACCAAAATCTATCGATAGGTAAAAATATCAGAAAAATTACCAATTTCTCCCTGAAGTTCTTCTGAAAAATAAAATGGAAACTTCATATAAATGTCAAGGGACAACATGGATATAGTTAGAGTATGTTATGTTATGTGTAAATAATTAACTCTACCGTTTGAGGTAAGTCAGCTTGAGCATGTCCCGAATTGCACATCTCTTCCCTCTCTTATTCCCACTCTTATATTTAACAGCGATCACTTTTCAGTTACGTTTCAGCACTTAAGAAGAATTGTGTATTGATTACAGTATTCAACCAAAAGTATTAAGTAGAACAAACAAAAAAAATACTAAGAGGGATAACATATCAAGTTGCTCATCAACAGTCAGGGTGAGGGCTGATCAAGTCACCATTTCTCATAGTGTTCATTTCACTTTAACAGGTTTCCTTTTTGGTGCTCAGTTAGTTGTCACCGATCAGGGAGAACATATGGTATTTGTCCCTTTGGGATTGGCTTTTTTCACTCAGCATAATGTTTTCCAACTTCCTAACAGGGATCACTTTTAAGTTAAAATTTAAACACCTAAGAATAATTGTGTGTTAATTACAGAGTTCAACCAATGGTACTAGAACAAAAAAAAAATACTAAAATGGATAAAGTATTACATTGTACATCAACCGTCAGGACAAGAGCTGATCAAGTCACTGTTTCACATAGAGACATTTGTAGTACAAATGCAAGATTTATATGAAAAAATGACATAGAATCAAAAATGAAAAAGGAATAAGAAAGGATAGAAAAGATAAGGAAAAAGAAATAATGAGAACATGATATAAGAATGGCACTTAACGAAAAATAAAATGAGGAGGCTAGAAGATTAGATATCTGGAGAAGGGAAAACTAAAGGACACCATCTATGAGAAGAGCGATAGAGAGTTAAAGACATCAAGAAAACATTATATGAGAGAAATGGCTGTCGGACAATATTTACCATTATTTCTCAGAAGTTCATCAGGAAATAAGATGGAAAAATCAATATAAGTATTTTTGATACGGAATACAAGCTTAAGAAAATTATAACATTTTAAAGGAATAAATGATGTCAGATAATATTTACCGTTATATCTCTGAAGTTCACCTGAAAATAAATGGAAAAAATCAAATTAAATATACTGGTTAACAAAGGTTTGAAAATTCCAATTCATGAAAAACACAGTTCAAATTTATACTCAAGATGAGGACACACACACACACACACATAAATGCATACACATTTGCTGTTGGAAAACTAATTTTCTCTAAGTAACAAGCTGTACAGAACTAAAGAAGGAGGAAATTTGCATCCATTTGTTTTCCGTGCTTGTGTGTCAAGAATCTGGACACAGAATCAATAGATGTTTATCTGGAAGTGAAGCCATGGCTGAACTAAAACTGAATGTGAATGATAGAAAATGAAGCAAAAGAGAAATGGAGAGAACTGAATAGGGGAGAATTCCAGTAGTCACCATATATGGGGAGAGAGGAGACATTCAAGAGAAGGTTAAATCAAGGCATACAATTAGAGGAAGAGGGAATAAATACAAAAGAAAACCAGACAGCAGTCACTTTAAAGTAGCAAGGGAGTGAAGGCTGTCAGGGGATAATTACCACATCTTTTCTGAAGTTCATCTAAAAATAAGATATAAAAAGTCAATATAAATACTTTTGTTATGGACCACAACATTAAGAATTTTCTAAACTTTTAAGGAATTAAAGGGATGTCAGACATTATTTACCATTATTTCTCTGAAGTATACCTGAAAATAAGATGCATAAAATCAATATAAATATTCTTGTTTTAAAACGGATAAGAAATTTCTAACTCATGTAAAATGCAATGCAAAAATATACTCAATACACACCCCCCCACACACACACACAAACACACAAACACCCACACATGCTACCAAAACCTAATTTTGTCTAGGTAACAAGCTATACAGAATTAGAGAAAAGGGAGAAATTTGTGTAACAGAAAAAGAATAGAAAATTAGTTCTGATGGTAACACTATAAAATATCTTTATAATTTGTATGTTATTTGCACTTTCATTTCTAGTGTTCTTTGATACTGTCTATGATTCTCAGTGAATCTATGATATTGATTCTCATTATCCTGGTAGCAATGTTGTATTAAGTCACAATCAACCCTGAGTTTGGGACTCCTTGTCCACAGCCCTGGAAAAAAATATGAGTCCAGATGCCTCTAAGTCTCTGGTCACTATGGCAGCCAAATATCACTAAGTTTTCCATGCTTGTGTGTCAAGAATCTGGACACAGAATCAATAGATTTTTTTTTTTTTGATAGGCAGAGTGGACAGCGAGAGAGAGAGAGACTGAGAGAAAAGTCTTCCTTTACCATAGGTTCACCTCACAATGCCCGCTGTGGCCAGTGATCTGCAGCCGGCGCACCACACTGATCTGAAGCCAGGAGCCAGTTGCTTCTCCTGGTCTCCCATGCAATAAATAGATGTTTATAGGGAAGTAACACCATGGCTAAACTATAACTGGAGGTGATTGATAGAAACGAAGGAAAAGAGAAATGGAGACAACTGAATATGGGAGAAGTCCAGTAGTCAACAAACGCGGAGAGAGAGTGACATACAGGAGAAGGGTAAATCAATGCATACATTTAAGGAAAGAGGAAGAAAATGCAAAAGACAACAAGAGAGTCATCATTTAAAAGAAGCAATGGCATAAAGGCTGTCAGCGAATATTTACCAAATCATCTCTGAAGTTCGTTTAAAAACAGATGGAAAAAATCAAGATGAGGTGGAAAAATCTATATAAATATTCTTGTTATAAAAATCAAGGATAAGAATATTCTAGCATTGTGAGGGAAAAAACGGATGTCCGACAATTTTACCATTATTTCTCTGAAGTTCTGAAATTAAGATGAAAAAATCAATATTAATATTCATCTTACAGAATGCAGGGTTAAGAAAATTCTAAACTTTTAATGGAATAAAAGTTTGTACTTACCCTCAATTCTCTGAAGTTCACCTGAAAAAATGGAAACAAAATCATTATACATATTCTTGTTATAGAAAATTGCAAATTATGTAAAATATAATGCAAAATTGAAACTGGAGATAATATGCGCAGACACACACACACCCATACGACTAGAAAACTAATTTTGTCTAAGTAACGTGCTTTACAGTCTAAAGAAGAGGAGGGAATTTGCTTCATTGAGAATAAATAGAAATATTAGTTCTGATGGTTATCATATACAATATCTTTATTTGTTGTACGTTATTCGTGCTTTACTTTTTATGGTTCTTTGACACTGTTTTGATTCCCAGTAAACCTATGATATTGATTCTCATTATCATGGTCGCAATGATGTATTAAGTCATAGTCAACCCTGAGTTCATTACTCCTTATCCACCGTTCCTGGAAAGAAATCTGAGTTCAGATGCCTCTAAGTCTCTGGTCACTTCGGCTTTAAAAAATCACTAAGCTTTCCATGCTTGAGTGTCAAGTCCCTGGACACAGAAGAAATAGATATTTATGGGGAAGTAACACCATGGCTGAAAAATTGGAGGTGACTGATAGAAAATGATGGAAAAGAGAAATAGAGAGAACAGAATATGGAAGAAGTGCCGAAGTCACCATATAAGGGGAGAGAGTAGACCTTCAGGAGGAGGGTAAATCAAGGCCTGCAATCAGGGGAAGAGGGCATAAAAGCAAAAGACAACAAGAGAGCAATCTTTGGAAAGACAAAAGGGAGGAAAGGCTGTCGGGGAATATTTACCAAATATTCTCTGAAGTTCATCTGAAAATAAGATGAAAAAAATCAATATAAATATTCTTCTTTCAGAATGCAAGCTTAATAAATCTATAAACTTTTAATGGAATAAAGGAATGTCAGAAAGTATTTACCATTTTTTTTCTGAAGTTCATCTGAAAATAAGATAGGATAAAATCAACGTTAATATTCTTGTTTAACAATGGATAAGAAAATTCCAACTTACGTAAAATGCAAAGCAAAATCTAAACTCAAGATACTTACACACACACAGAGACACACACCTACGCATGCTGCTGGAAAACTAATTTTGTCTAAGCAACATGCTGTACAGAATTAAGAAGAGGAGGAAATTTGCTTCTCTGATACAAAAATAGAAATATTAGTTCTGATGATTACCACATAAAATATCTTTATTTTTTGTATGTTCTTTTCGCTTTTCTCTTTAGGGTTCTTTGATACTGTCTTTTATTCCCAGTAAATCTATGAAATTGATTCTCATTATCAGGGTAGCAATGCTGTATTAAGTCACAATCAACCCTGAGTTAGGGACTCCAGAGCCACTGCTCCTGCCAAAATATCTGAGTCCAGATGCCTTTAAGTCTCTGGTCACTTCGGCACCAAAACATCCATTTGTTTTCCATGCTTGAGTGTCAAGTCTCTGGACACAGAAGAAATAGATGTTTATGGGGAAGTAAAGCTGAACTAAAACTGGAGGTGAATGATAGAAAATGAAGGAAAAGAGAAATGGAGACAAAGGAATATGGGAGAAGCCCAGTAGTCAACAAATATGGGGATAGAGTGACATACAGGAGAAGGGTAAATCAAGCCATGCATTTAGGGGAAGAGGGAAATAATGCAAAAGATAACACGAGCACAGTCACTTTAAAGTGATAAATGCTGTCTAGGAATATTTACCACATCTTCTCTGACGTTCTTCTGAAAATAAAATGGAAAAAATCAAAATCAATATAAACATTCTTGTTACGGAATGCAAGAATGAGAAAATTCTAACTTCTTTTTGAATATTTATTTGAGTTTCAGCGTTACACAGAGATGAGAGAGAGAGAGAGAGAGAGAGAGAGAGAGAGAGAGAGAGTTCTCCCATCTGATGGTTCAGTCCCCAGATGGCTGCGATGGCTGGAACTGTGCCAATCCGAAGCCAATAGCCAGGAGCTTATTCCTGGTCTCACACTTGTGTGCAGGGGCCCAAGGACTTGGGCCATCTTCTACTGCTTTCCTGGGCCTTAGCAGAGAGCTGTACAGGAAGCAGACCAGCCGGGTCTTGAACCTGCACCCATATGGAATGCTAGCGCTTCAGGCCAGGGTTAACCCACTGCACCACAGTGCCGGACCCAAAAATTCTAACATTTTAAGGAAATAAATGAATGTCAGACACTATTTACCATTATTTCTCTGAAGTTCATCTGAAAATAAGATGAAAAATTCAATATTAATGTTCTTAAATAACAAAAGGTTAGGAGAATTCTAAACTTTTAATGGGTTAAAGAATCGTCAGAATGTAATTACCATTATTTCTCAGAAGTTTATCTGAAAATAAATGGAAAAATCATTATACATATTTTTGTTATAAAAAGGTTAAGAAACTTGCAACTTATGTAAAATGCAATGCAAAATTTAAACTCAAAATACAGATGCATGCACACACAAACACATACATACACGCAGCCATGATGCTGGAAAACTGATTTTGTCTAAGTAACATGATATACAGAATTAAAGAAAAGGAAGAAATTTGATTCACTGAGAAAGGATAGAAATATTAGTTCTGATGGTAACAGTATAAAATAATTTTATTTTGTATGTTATTTGCACTTTTCTTTTTAGGTTTCTTTGATAATGTCTTTGATTCCCAGTAAACCTATGATATTGATTCTCATTTTCATGGTAGCAATGTAGTATTAAGTCACGATCAACCCTGAGTTCATTACTCCTGAGCCACTGCTCCTGCAAAAATATCTGAGTTCAGATGCCTCTAAGTCTCTGGTCACTTCGGCATTAAAACATCACTAAGTTTTCCATGCTTGAGTGTCAAGTCTCTGGACACAGGATAAATAGATGTTTTAGGGATGTAATGCCATGACTGAACAAAAAAGGGCAGTGAATGATAGAAAACGAAGGAAAGGAGAAATAGAGAGAACTGAATCGGGGAGAACTCCAGTAGTCAACAAATATGGGGAGAGAGTCAACATTCAGGAGAACGTTAAATCCAGGATGCAATTAGGGGAAGAGGGAATAAATGTAAAAGACAACAAGAGAGCAGTCATTTAAAATGGTAAGTGAGTAAAGGCTGTCAGGGAATATGAACCAAATATTCTCTGACTTTCGTTTAAAAATAAGATGGAAAAGCTCAATATAAATATGGTGAATGGAATGCAAGGTGAAGAAAATTTTATAATTTAAGAGAATAAAGGAATGTCAGACAATATTTACCATTATTTCTCTGAAGTTCATCTGAAAATAAGAAGCATAAAGTCAATATAAATATTTTTGTTATGGAATGCAAAGATAAGTAAATTCTAACATTTTAAGGGAAGGCCAGACACTACTCACCATTATTTATCTGAAGTTCATCTGAAAATAAGATGAAAAAATCAATCTTAATATTCTTCTTAGAGAAACCAAGGTTAAGAAAATTCTAAACTTTTAATGGGTTTAAGGAACATCACAATGTATTTACCATTATTTCTTGGAAGTTTATCTGAAAATAAATGGAAAAAATTATTATACATGTTCTTGTTATAAAAAGGTTAAGAAACTTGCAGCTTATGTAAAATGTATTTGAAATTTAAACTCAAGAAACAGATGCTCGCACACACAAACACATGCACACACACAACCATGATGCTGGAAAACTAATTTTGTCTAAGTAACATGTGATGCAGAATTAATGAAAAGGGGGACATTTGCCTCACTGAGAAAAAATAGAAATAATAGTTCTGAGGGTAACAGTATAAACTATCTTCATTTATGGTATGTTATTCGCACTTTTCTTTTTAGGGTTCTTTAGTACTGTCTTTGATTCACAGTAAACCTATGATATTGATTCTCATTATCATGGTAGCAATGTAGTATTAAGTCACAATCAACCCTGAGTTCATTACCCTGAGCCACTGCTCCTGCAAAAATATCTGAGTTCAGATGCCTCTTAGTCTCTGGTCGCTTGGCACCACAATATCACTAAGTTTCTCATGCTCGTGTGGAAAAAAAATCAACATAAACATGCTGTTATGGAATGCAAGGTTAAGATAATTTTAAATTTTTAATTGAATAAAGGAATATCAGACAATATTTACCATTATTTCTCTGAAGGTCATCTGAAAGTAAGATGGATAAAATCTATATAAATATTCATATTTTTAATTGGATAAGAAAATTCCAATTTAAGCAAAATGCAAAGCAAAATTTAAACTCAAGATATGGACGCACAAAGGCATGCACACACCCAGGTAGGATGCTGGAAAACTAATTTTGTCTTAGCAACAAACTATACAGAATTAAAGAAGAGGAGGTATTTGCTTCACTGAAAAAACAGAAATATTAGTTCTGATGGTTACCATAGAAAATATCTTTATTTTTTGTACGTTATTTGCGGTCTCACTTTTAGGGTATTTTGATACTGTCTTTGATTCCCAGTAATTCTATGATACTGACTCTCATTATCAAGGTAGAAATGTTGTTTTAAGGCAAATTAAACCCTGAGCTCAGCACTCCTGAGCCACTGCTCCTCGAAAAAAATATCACTCAGGTGCCTGTAAGTCTCTGGTCACCAAGACAACCAAATATCACTAAGTTTTCCATGCTTGTGTGTCAAGAATCTGGACACAGAATAAATAGATGATTGTAGGGAAGTAAAGCCATGGCTGAAGTAAAACTGGGTGTGAATGACAGAAAATGAAGGAAAGGAGAAATGGAGAGAACTTAATGGGGGAGAACTCCAGTAGTCAACAAATATGGGGAGATAGTAGACATTCAGGCAAATGGTAAATCAATGTTTGCAATTAGGGAAGAGGGGAGAAATGCAAAAGACAACAAAAGAGCAATTATCATAAAGTGGTAAGTGAGTAAAGGCTGTTAGGGAATATTTACCATATATTCTCTGAAGTTCGCCTAAAAATAAATGGAAAAAATCAGCATAAATATTCTTGTTTAAAAATGGATAAGAAATTCCAACTTATGTAAAATGCAATACAAAATTTAAACTCAAGATATGGACTCACACACACACACACACACACACTAACCCATGCATGCTGCTGAAAAACTAATTCTGTCTAAGCAACATGCCATACAGATTTAAGAAGAGGAGGAAATTTGGTCACTGAGAAAAAGATAGACATATTACTCTGATGGTTGCCATATAAAATATCTTAATTTTTTTGTATGTTATTCAGGCTTTTCTCTTTAGGGTTCTTTGATACTGTCTATGATTCCCAGTAAATCTATGGTATTGATTCGCATTATCATGGTATCATGGTAGCAATGTTGTTTTAAGGCAAAATCAGCCCTGAGATCTGGACTCCTGAGCCACACTGCTCCTGGAAAAAAAAATCTGAGTTCAGATGCCTCTAAGTCTCTGATCACCATGGCACCAAAGCATGCATTTGTTTTACATGCTTGAGTGTCAAAAATCTAGACAAAGAATAAATAGTTCTTTATTGGGAAGTGAAGCCATGGCTGAATAAAAAAGTGAGTTGAATGATAGAAAATGAAGGTAAAGAGAAATTGAGAGAACGGAATATGGGAGAAGTCCAGGAGTCACCATATAGGGTGAGAGAGTAGACATTCAGGAGATGGGTAAATCAAGGCATGCGATTAGGGGAAGAGGGAATAAATGCAAAAGACAACAAGAGAGCCATCATTTTAAGGTTGTAAGTGAGTAAAGGCTTTCAGGGTATATTTACCAGATCTTCTCTGTCGCTCATCTGAAAATAAGATGAAAAAAAAAAAAAACAACAATATAGCTATTCTTTTTACTGAATGCAAGGTTAAGAAAATCCT